TCCAGGTCATCAAATACAGACATGAGCTGTGTTCAGTTACCACTAGATGCCACTAAATCTGACACACTGGTCCATGAAGGGTTCTTATCTCATTTTGGAGTGAATCACCTCACACACTGCTTCAATATAATAATAATAGGATAATAATGCAGAGAAGAGAGCTGTTTGTGGTATCACACATATACATGTTACTTTTTGTGTCACACATAGGAGTTTTTTAATTCTACAGCAAATTCTATACATCAAACTTTCTCTAGGAAAACCACGACGTTGCCTCTGTTTCTTCTTTCCTCCTCTGGCCAGCTGCTACAGCAAAGCAAAGGACTTCCTATTCGATCAAAAGCTACTGCTTAACATTCTGTAGCTATCGCCTGCGTACAATAACAGCACTTCCCCTCTTTTTCCTGCATTTTTGTTTCACATCAACAAAAAAACTAATTAACATATTTTTTCAACAAGTGCAAGTCTTGTTGATATAAATGAATCTGAGTGCTGGTTGAGATTACTTGGGGACAAATATGTTGAGATGCTCCTCAGGGAGTGTGTTAGTTGCAGTAAACATGAGCAGATTAAACTCAAAGTGATGATGACCCAATTAAAAAACTGCAAACCTAACAGTGTATTTACAGCGCAGCCAATATGCAAAGCAAGCAAGCAAACAGCAGCAGCACACCAAGTGGACTGTATCAATTTTATGACATATGCATTTTATAATATGTTTTCAAGTTTAAAAGATAATCAAATAAAAAAACTGTTTAACTTAGTTAAGTTGTCAATAGAAGCATATTAGCATATTAGCATTGTCATTTAGAGCATGCTGAAGTTAGCATTTAGGTCCAACCACCACAAGGACAGCCTCACAGAGCAGTTAAATTGTCTGTTACAATTTATATTCTCTATCTAAGGACATAAGACACTTAAAAAAATACTTTCCTTGTTGGAAGAAAATGTGCATTCTCACACCCTCTTGAATCACCCTACATTTTACATATATCTATACTCTTTCCCTGTTTTCCCTGTAATGTGTAGACTGAAAAAGCTCAACTACACTGTCAAGGTTTTGATTTGTACCAGACGTGGGGTCTCATTACACTTTTGGGTTCCTTTCACTTTAATTCAAACGTAAGCAGAGGAGAGAAAGTATTATCCACAGCCATCTTCATCTCTTGGCTTCGTGCCCGAGTTTAACTCTGGTCAATGAATTCTTAAACACACTTGACCAGTCGAGGGGCTCAATGTCACAGTGACCCCTCATCTGATAATCAAAGATGGAGGAGTGGCGGTCTCGCAAGGTGTGTTGTAATTGTACTTTAGCCAATTGACATAAAATATACACGAAAAGAGTACTCGCTGTGTTGCTGGACAGTAGCTTTTGATTAAGTGTGACCTAATGAGCCTTTGTACTGTATAATTGTTGCAGGGAGTGAAATTATTTTGTTGCACTATACTATAATGTATTGCTGTCAACCAACTAGGTTGTGAATCCAAAAGTAAAGAGCTGCTTGGGTTTGCTGACTTGCAGATTCTGTAGTAAGGCAGGCTTCAGGCCTCAGTTGCCAGAAATGATCAAGTGTGTGTGTGTTTGTGAATCTCATCTATTTTAAAAAATAATGTATGAGAACTAAGGCTCTGCTACGCTGGTATAACAATTAGATTTCCTGCAAGTCACCCTATTACTAATTACTATTACTAATTACTATTATTATTACAAAAGACG